CTATGCTGGGGGAGGGGGGTGGAATGCTCTAGAGCATTATGGGATCTGCAGCTGGGATGCACAAAACAATAAGAATGATAGAGCAGAAGTCAGAAAGGAAATCCTACCAAAAACTTCATGGAACCCTGATGTGAACTTTGGTAATGGGCTAGGGTCTTCACTGACCATAATACATGAAAAGCAAAACTATCTCAATCTGTTTTGAAGGACTGGATAATGGTTCTTTGCAGTTTACTGTCTGTTGCATACTGTCTTAATCTTCATCCAGGCCATTCTCATACATATCAAATGAAAAACTGAACTGAAACAGGAAAAAGTTATTAGCTACAACTCACCTTAAAGATTTTGATTAAAAAAAAAAAAAAAACTTATTCTGAAAATAGTTGATGGTTTAATGGACTTTAACCTTGAAGGATTTCAAAGTATTTTAAAAATGTGCCCCATTCTTTAAAAAGTAGTCAGCTTCCTCCCCCTCAGTGATCTAAAATATGCATCTTTAAAACTCACTTAAATGTGCATACTCTAGAAATAAATTTTTTTGTCTTAAGTGTCTACTGACAAATTTTACTCTCATTTAATAGTCCTATTTTCTCCCATCAGGTCATGATGACAAACTCCAGCTGAACTTAGGTAAAGGAGGATTCTTCCTGACAACTCTGGTAGGTTTTTTTAAAAAAATATTTATTTTTTTAATTGTAGTTGGATACAATAACTTTATTTTATTTATTTATTTATTTATTTATTTATTTATTATGTGGTGCTGAGGATCGAACAGGGCCTCTCAGTGCTAGGCGAGCGCTCTACTGCTGAGCCACAACTCCAGCCCCTCTGGTAGGTTCTTTATGCAGCATACTCTGATTTTCACACTCGCCATTCTTTGCTAAATTTTTCTTGGATAACACTCCAAGTTGACTAACGTCCTGACTGGGAAAATCTTCCACAGTCTTTATTAACTTTACCTGGCTTTTCTAAAACTTTGACATTGAAAGGATATAAAAGTTAAAACTCAGTGCCACATTTCATCAAAGTAATAATTATACATACCACCTGTACATCTGAAGGGACTCTGGAAAGGAAGTCAAGTAGCTCATTGTTATCAATTGCATATGGACTCCGAAGTTTTTTTGTAAATTTATTGATGCCTAAAAAAATGATAGGTCAAACATAGAAATCTCCAAAGTTTGAAGTTATACAGAGCATTTGTCTGGCAAAAGTATTACAGTGATTTGAAGATCTTGCTTATATGCTACCCCTCAACCTTGACTGAATAAAGCAACCTATGTTGCTTTCCTGCTTCTCCCCTTTTCCCAACTTAGCTGCTGCTCTTTCTCTTTGCACATTTTGTTCCTTTTTAGCAAGAAAAGCTTTCTGTTTTGGACACAAATGGGCATAGCTATAAGGAATGATAAGGCTATGATGAAAATTGTCTTCCTGTATTTTTAGATTGAGATTGTTAAGGCAGGAAGTCTACTTGATTGGCTTTCCCCTTTTCAAAAGATATATCTTTTTTTGTGGGGAGGTTTTGCCCTTAAGCAAGCTAAATGCCTAGAAGACACATGACCTTGATTTTTTTCAAGCATTAGGAGAAGGATTGCTATCAGCTTTTTCTCAAAAAATAGTTGTACATGAAATCAACACACTGACAAAAACTGAAACAAACTAGATCATCTCAACTCTTCTTCATGAAGTTCATACAGAATGAACTGGAATCTTGACTTTGGTCTCTGTATTATCATGTAAGAACTTTCTTATATTTCTGGCTACCTACCATTGAAAGCATATTCTTGTTTTATTTCATTTGATGAAACAAGAGACCCAAACACATTCTCTAAAATTACTTTTAAGACAGCTAGCCAGTGAGGCCCCATAGGTTACATAGCCAGATGTTGGCCATGACCTCCAGTTTCTAAGAACCTGGGAAAGTAGGTTGGGTTGGTGAGGGTGTTTAGTAGCAGAGATGGCTTGGCAAGTGTGACCCTATTAGGTTGTGTTAATAAGCTACCACACATGATAATGTACCTTGATTCCTTCAATAATAGAACATCTGCTTTAATATCAGAAAGGAACAACAGATGAGGGCTTGAATATACAATAGAAAATAAGAATATGGTGGAAATGCTTCATTCCTTGTATAGTATCATAACTGAATTTCTGTTAATTATAGTAATTAAGATAGGAAAAAATAATTGTCACCCACCCCATGTTTAAAAGTGATGGTAAGGGGTTGGAAGGCCTGCTAAAGATGGGCCAAAAAAGAATATGGAAATAGGAATCTTAAGAGTAGAGGCCTTGGCAACAGATTACTTTATTCCAGAATATTTCTTTTAAGGTCTTGAAAACAGAGAATAAAAAACTCCCTTTAATCTCTTTCCTTTCAGTGTAAACATGTTTTCTGAAGTTAAGATCCATTGGTATTCTTTGCATTTTACTTTAGCAATCTTAGACGTATGTGTATGTAGGCAAGGACAAGTAGAGACTTACTCTGCCCCATCTTGTTTATATATGTCATTAATGTTGTAGTTGTATATGTTAGATCTTAAAGACTGAAAAGGGGATTTGTAAACCAAGAACTTTGTCACGAAAGAAGTGGGGGTGACACATTATAAAGAATGCTGAAATAAATTATCTCTTAAATGGAGCTAGGTATGTAGGAATTGTTAGCATGCAGCAAAATCATATTAAAATTTAGATTTAAAAATATCACCTTTCAAGTAGCTTTTTGTAGAAGCATTCTTGTTCATTATGTATAAAACAAGTATTTTTGTTCCTAAGAAGCCTATAAATGCCAACAACCCTTCTCCTGAATCTTAAAGGTGACCTCTTAAATAGCCATAAACAGTACCATGTTTACATACATTTCCACAGAATAATGTACCACAGCAAAAAAGCATATTGTCCTAAATGGACCATATGGATCAAAATGCTCCTGTTTGTGTGTAAGTGGTGAAAATAAATCATAACAGTATCTAGACAAAGCTATACTTTGATATATGAAGAATCTGCACAACTACACCTTTATAGTCTGATAGAGCCTATGGTGCCAGATAAGAAAAATGCATTTTTCAGGTAGACCTAAATCTTTACACTGTTGTGATTTTTAACTGATCTGTCTCATTTCATCATAGAATAGCCACATGACCATAAATATAGTGAACTACTGAGAGTATAACTCATCCCTTAAAAATAGTTTATTCTTAACAGTTAAGACACTTAAAAAAAATTTTTTAAAGACTTTTTACTTACCCCAGACAAGGACAATGTATCGTAGTGGAACGAAGTACAGGATGATTGTGAACACACAGAGGGCTACAATGGCCAGCCAGCTTAAGAATGGAACAGTCCAGTTGAAAGTACTAAGTGAAAAATATAACACATCAGCAATCTGAGCACTTCACACCTTTTTCAAACAAAGATTAAAATAAATGTGATTTTGACTAATTTGGAACCTAATCAGTCTGCATTTTTCTCTGGAGTAGAAGCCAACTGTGGTAGGCTTATCAGAGGACACAGGTTACTCAAGATTTGCTCAATTCCATGAATATAGAAGCCCACTTGGATTGTAGTGGACAACTTCAGAGTCTAATCACTTGTACTCTTTGAAATCTATGTAATTCACTTATCAAAGAGGAACTAACATTCTATTACCTAACTCTTTAGCAAAAAGAGCTATTGTACTGTTTGTGTGACTCCCCACATGGTAAAAAGATTCATTTTTCTCCTGCTAAAACTAACACCCAGCCTCCTTTTCTTTCTTTGTTTTTGTTTTGTTTTGTTTTTTAGGAGTGGAACTACCCTGGGCATTCTTCCCTCTACCAACCTTCACTCAGTTTTTCCCACATTGGGAATAAAATGTTTCTAGCAGTTGTCTATAGACACAGTTCTTATACTTTGATGTAAACCCTCTAAATTTTAGAATTCTTACTCAGTTATGTTTCAAATGGAATTATAAATAAGGAAAGGGGGACAAAGCAATTAACCTTATAAAGCTTTACCTGCTATTATTGCCCTTCTCCTCAGGAATAGATAGGTAATTAAGAAATAACATCAGCATTGCCTGTTATTCTCCCTCTAGTACTTTGGGAGAGAATGGCACATGATGGATTTGTAGGATAAACTGTGAAAAGGGAATACAAACTGGAAAAGTATGCTTATAGTAGGCTGGGGTTAATGGGTCTGTAGTGTTGCTATACTGCTGGTGATTGATAACGTGGAGGACTTGGTCCCAGAGGGCTACAAGACAGTAAGTATTAACAGTAAGACACGATAAAAGCAGAAACAGGATCAATGAACAAGAGTAGGGGATGTTACAAAAAGTAAGGAAATGGGGAAATAATTTAGTGGAACAACAGGGAAAATGAAGACACACACACAAAAAAGATGATGTAGAACATTTTTTTAAAAGAGTGTAGAGAATCAAGGAAATGAAAGATGGAAAGATTCTATTTAAGGCTTTCTGTGTAGAAGTTCTGTGATGAATCTCAGATAACAAAATTATAGAATAAATAGAAATGCATTGAGCCTCTAGGTTAGGTATACAAATACATCACTATTTACAGATACACCATTGCATTTTTTTGAAATCTCTATAATGTTCAGTACCAAAGAGAAACTAACATATTGTGTCTACTGAGTCTAACAGTAGTTTGATGAAAAGAGCCAAGAAGTAAAGAGATCTATATTCAAAGCCTGGATTCTGTTGTATGAGTCAACATCTCTAACCCTAGGTTATCTCCTTTAGAACATTAGGATAGCTTCTGTTATATCAAGAAAGATTGGTTGTGATGCAGCATATTTATGTGATTCAAGGTGATCAGAGATAATCAACTCCAGGAGTCTAAAGTGTGTCATTTCTTCCAGTGAGAAGGACTCCAAACACAATTCAGAAAATACAAAATTTATTTCTTCTAATTTCTTGGTAATGCATGTTATAGTCATTTGGAGTGGGGTTTGTCAGGGCAGTTTTGATCCAATGAAGGGTGATTACTAAGAAATGTTTTTCCTATACTATACCTCAGCTTAACACATAAGAGTTGTTCCTTAGCTTTATGTCTTTTAGCTTGCTTTTTTGTGTCTCCTTAGGTTCATTGTTACCTAAAATTGTTTGTTCTAGTAAACGATCCAAAGTTGGATAAGTTGATTCAAAATTGGATAAGTTGGCTGTCCTGTTTTCAATAACCCTTGGATTTTTGGCTTTTCTTTGTTTTTTCCTCTTATGGTCAGAGTGAGCATCCTGAGACTGTGTCAGTAGGTAAGGTTCATGCTTTACTTCCTTGATGGACACCTGTGCTTTCCTTGCTTCTGCCTGCTTGTGGAGAGAACAGAAGGCTTTCTTTCCTACGGCTCAGTTCAGAGCCATCCATCACACCACTCCATGTGTGAGGGCACTGGCACTTCGTTTGGAAAACCTTCCTTCTGGGCAGCCCCACTGAAGGACTCCCTGTGTTTTTCTTTCTCTTACTGGAAGGATAGATGGCACCAAGAATCCTCACCACTGTAGCTAGTGGTAGGGAAAAAAGCTTGCCCTTTTCTGTTTCTACATTTTGCATTATGGAATCTAAATCTAGAATATGCTCTTCCCCAAAAAAGAGCTGCAATTCAAGAAAGTTCTGGAATGATTATTTAGTAACAAGACATGGTATTTATAGAGATTTCATTTTGTGCTTAAAGATCACTTCTGAATCTGCTTTCTGGATGATGTTTTTAATCTTATGTGACCCCAGGGGAACTTTGCTTTTTTGGTATCCAAAATATTGTTTTACAGAAGATATAGCTCCTGTAAGACTTACTCAATCTTATGCCATATTCCTGTACCTCAGCACAGAAAATTCTACAAAGCCCAGGTTCCCCCAGAGCTGGTCCACCTCCAGACTCTGATCATATCCTTCAGCTAGCCATCATGTTCTCTGTTTGAGTCCTCCCACCATTCAGAGTTAAAAAAGCTTTCTTTCCCTCAGGTGTTCATTAGTCTGATCTCAGAGCTGATCCATGGTCTTCTGGTATAAATGAGAGGTTTCCATCACATTATCAGTATATGATGTACTCCGGAGAAAAGTAAAAAGAATGTCTCAAATTTAGGGCTACCAATGCCCCCAATTTAGGCCACACTATGCTTCAGTGGATAGGGTAGAGAGTACAGGGAACATTCTTAGAAATAGCACAGGGAGGAAGAAGGAGAGAGAAAAGGCGTGGGAGTGAGTCTTTTAAAGTCCAAGGCTGAATATTGTTTAGGGGTACATTTGCGAGTGAGAGAGAAAGGACCAATGAATGATTCACACCTTTTGTTTAAATAATTGACTCCTTTCAAATTCTGTGTATGTCCAAGGATCTAAATCTGCAGAATACTTTAGGTTATCAATAAAAAAGATTGATATTTAAACTAAGAAAACCAGGCTTATCCAGATACATTGTACCCCTTCTTGACTAGATCATTAGCAATCATTACACAGGCCAGTTTCATGTAGTTTATGAGGCCTTAGCATGGCTTCAACTCATAACCAATTACTGTAAATTCACCTTACCGGTTTTTTTTTTTTTTTCCTAAGTAAACTTTTTTCGGGGGAGGGGGTATTGGTGATTGAACCTAGAGGCAATTTACTATAGAGCTACAACCCCAGCCCTTTTAAGTCCTTTTTAATTTTTAACCTTGAGACAGAGTCTCACTAAGCTGCCCAGGCTTACCTTGAACTTGAAATCCTTCTACCTCAGCCTCCCAAGTTGCTGGGACTATAGGCATGTACCACCACACCTGGCTAATTTTTAAAAATGTATTAGTAAATAAAATAATAAAACAATAAGATAAAGTAAGTTCCTTAATTTTATGTTAGCTCTCAATGAAGCTGTATAAAAAATTAAGATTCTAATATTTTTTTAAAAAAGAGAGAATTTTTTAATATTTATTTTTTAGTTTTCGGTGGACACAACATCTTTATTTTTATGCTGAGGATTGAACCCAGCGCCGCGAGCGCGCTACTGCTTGAGCCACATCCCCAGCCCAAGATTCGAATTTTTAAGTATAAAAATTCTGTGATTTTTTCTAGATGGCAAAAGTTTGTTTCATTGATAATTATGATCTCAGATATTTAAACTAAAATATCTGAGTTTAGGGCCGGGCATGGAGGCCTGTAATCCCAGTGACTTGGGAGGCTAAGTCAGGAGGATCTCAAGTTCAAGACAACCTCCCCAATTTAGTGAGGTCATAACCAACTTAGTGAGGCCCTGTCTCAAAATAAAAAAATACAAAGGGCTGGGGATATGGTTCAGTGGTAAAGCACCTCTAGGTTCAATCCCTGAGGTGGGCGGGAGGAATAGAGTATAGGAATATTTCTGTAGGGTGCTATACATAATATTTTTTTAAATGTAGAGTAACTTGAAACTATAACTAGACCAATAATAAAATACAAGTGTCTTCATTACCTGAAATCATCATTTAGCTTGATTTATTTTTTTCTATCATGATTGCATATTCCATTTAAGAACAAAGTCTTTCACTGTGAAAAATGTGCTAAAGTTTAGGACGGTGTTATTTCTTCAAAGCTACAAGTATGACTTCTTTCCAACCAATATGTTCTAAATTTCAGGGAAGAAATTGACAGAACTTTCATAAAACCAAAGACTGGCAGAAACAAAGTAAATGATGATGAAACTGAGCAATAGATCACCCAGAAGGAGTATGTCCTGCCAAAATGAATGTGGCATTTTACCCTTCAAGAAATAAATGGATACCCTGTCCCACAGAAGGCCAGGGCTCACATGTCAGCATCACTCACTTCTTTATCCTTTCGCCAAAGGAAGCCACTTCATCTAGGATGTTCTGGACACTCACACATACCTCCTGGATGGCATAGATTTTATTTATAAATCCCTTTTTTTCACTGTCCTAAAATGCAATAAAAAAAGAAATTCTGTATGAATAAAATATATCCTTTAGTGCTTGAATTCTTTGCATTGTTCCTCATATTTAAAATTTAAATAAACTTTCTATACGTAGATGGATAATTGAAGCTTATGAAAATTTCAGGATATTAGGGACATGAGGAGGAAAAGTACCCAGCATCATAGACCTGTGCTGCTATGAAAATGGTTGTGACCCAGCAGACTTGAATTCTTTTGTTCTTAGGCTGATTAAAAGAGACATTGAGGGAGTTGGGGGATAGGGTGTGAAAGAGAGGACAGATCTCAATATTAGCAAACCTGGATTTTGCAGTGACTCAGAACCCATCAATATTCTACGTAGCAAATCCAGTTTTCTTGACCCTACCACCCATAGACCCATGTTTGGTTGTGGCTTCAGATAATTCAGCAGCAGAATATTCTGGGTACAAATGAAAACTGCAAAAAAATAACAAATAACTGAAATCCATTAAGTTGACACTTCCTAGATCAAATATACACTAAGCTTAATCACCCACTGAAAAGTAATACTCTTACTCAGTAGCATATACTATTAGTCAAGGTTCTGACTAAATCCCCTCTCCCTACCCCTCCCCCCCTTTTTTTATATAGTTCATCCTAAAACTTGTGCAGAATTTAAGCAAAGCTGGTGCACTCCAGGGAAGAGGTGGGTGGGGATTGAACACAAAGCACCCAGAAAGTGGTGTGAGCCTAAGGGAAATGTGCATATTTTGTAATTTTAAACCCAGAAGAAGAAATAGTGGTGGCCTTTCACGATTGAAAATTCTGCTTAGTAGCCTGGCATCACAGGCACTTGCCTAGGCTGTTTAGTGGAGACCATCCAACCCTGATTCCATGACTCCATTCCTCCATGCCAGCTTGAATATCTATGGAAATATAGATCCAATTTCATTACTTTAACTTCTTTTGAACACTTGCATACTATGCCAGAACACTTGAGACCTCATGTGGCAGTCAGTGCTTGCTGAAAGCAGCCAGGAAGCTAGAATAATAATGTCATGTTGCACATTTACATACTGACTTTCATTTCAGAAGAGTCTAAAGCACTTTACACTGTGAACACTTGGCCACGGCTGGCATCCTGCCACCCAGAAACCAAGGGCAAGTGAATCAAAGTTGTGTGTGTATCCTCCTAGGATATTGCAGTATACGTGGACCAAGGACATGAAGGCCAGTTTTACAATAACTTGATCTTTGGTAGATGTCAATTACTTGGAGCTTTCATTTTATATTTAATTACCATGGGAGGATTGTCTACATTATTTATCTTGCTTATGCCAAAACAGATTTTCAAACAATGAGGTAGATGAGACACACAAAACCCAAAACAGTATAGAAAGCAATTAGCTACTCAGCATTCCCCACTATCGTCAAAATTCACTTGTCATGATAGACTTGGATGCATCAACTGCTTATCTTCCCCCCCATTTAATAAAACAAAATGCATTAATTTTACCTATGTAATTGTACACTTTAGAATGAAATGAATAACCATTGGCTCTTTGTAGTTCCGTTCATAAACAACTACAAAGTTGGTCGGCATGATCCTTAGTGTTCTCATCTCAAGTATCAACTAAATTAACTTATGTCCATAAAGCAAAGTGCTCTTATAAGTGATTTATTCTAAATATAGCAAAGTCAGTTGGAGGGCAGGGTGGGGGAGTATATGATAGTGGTAGACTGCAATGCTTAGTATGTGCAAGGCCCTGGGTTCAATCCCCAGCACTACAAAAAGAAAATGAGTCAAAACCTGCTGATTGTACAATGAAAAGTCTGCTGAGAATAAGATTTATTCAAAATTATGTGAAAAATATTTTCTCACAACAATAAAATATATAATATTTAGGTATAACTTAAGATATATACAAAATCTATATGAAAATATGGATATATCACATTTGTATATTATAATACTGAATACTAAATTTTTTTCCTCCAGTTTGAATGCAATTTCAAGCAAATCCCAAATGTTTGAAGAGAATATGATGATATGTTTCTAAATTTTGTTGGGAATAATAAATAAGTACAGCCAAGAAATTTTTATAAAAGAGAAATAATGAAAAAGCATTTAATGGACCAGATACTTAAGTAATTAAAGTGAGATGTGGGCACATAGAGATTGATATATAATGTGTCACCATCATAAAGAGGGAAGTGTTATGTTACTGAGCAATTATGTCCACTATTTGAACAAAATTATATTAAATCCTACCTTCAATAGAGTCTCTAACCTATTTGAGATAACCCATATCTACTTCAATATTTACTTCAAATAGCTCCAAATACATTCTAGGTTAATTTTTGAAAGCTAAAAATAAATGATAAAAATATAATATAGGATGGGCTGGGGTTGTGGCTCAGTGGCAGAGTGCTTGCCTTGCACTGGCGAGGTACTGGATTCAATCCTCGGCACCACATAAAAATAAAAACAAAGATATTGTGTTAATGTATACCTAAAAAAATTTTTTTTAAATAAGTAAACTATTTACTCACTTTGGAATACCAAAGAACTTTCTAAACATATAAGCTCTACTAGGAGATCACAAGGAAATATCTGATAGTGATAGTTACATAAAATCATATCAAGTCATCATAAATTTGGAAGGCTAGAGCTAGGCATATAGTTCAGTGGTCTGGTGTATGCTTAGCATGTATAAGTTCCTAGTTCAATCTGCAACACCACCCAAAATTTTAAAGTCTTAAGTAGGAAAAAAATTTGAAAGAATATGACAAGTGATGGGATGATGTTTCCAACGTATTCAGTAAACATCTGAAAATGTTTCATTGAAGTTTTGTTTATAATGCCAAAAAGAAAAATCAATAATATATTGGTTGGAATTAATTATGAAATCAAAAGCATTATTATTTAATGAAAACAAAAATGCTTATGATCTAATAGAAATAAAAAGTAGGAAGTAAATGTGATATAATTTTTTTTTTTTTGGTACTGGAGATTGAATGGGGAGTGCTTAAACAATGAGCCACATCCTCAGCCCTTTTTGTTTTTTGAGACAGGGTCTCGCTAAGTTGTTTAGGGCATCAATAAGTTGGTGAGGCTGGTTTTGAACCTGTGATCCTCCTGCCTCAGCCTCCCAAGCTGCTGAAATTATAGGCATGGGTCACCACACCTGGCAATATAATTCTATTTTTTAAATGGCTGTTACGGGAAAAATGAAAGGAATGTGTCAAAATATTCAGATAATGGAAGTTTATCTTCTTTGTGCCTTCCTATAATGATTCAAAGCCTGCAAGTTATTTTTTTTCCTTTATAATCAGAATATTATCCTGATTTTCTCCAATATTATTGAAGGAACTTAGAAGAAATAAATTAATTAGAAATTACTGAGCATGGTTTTACTGTGGTATTTTAATGTGTTTTTCTATTTTTATAAGTAATTTGGGGAGAGAAGTATAAGTCAGTGGTCATTAAGCACTGCAAAGTGATTTTTAAAGAGTTCATTCAGTCCCCTCAACCATCCTACAATATATTTTTCTCCACAGAAGAGGAAACTGAGGCTCAGGGAAAATGACAGCTTGGATTGGGACTGCAACTGGCTAACTTCAGTCTATTCTTCAAACCATAACATACTATGTGACTATTTTATCCAGGAAGTTTTTATTTTCTCCCTAGAACCCCAGTATGATAAACAAAAAGAAAGGATTTGAAAATGTTCAGAAACTTTTTAGATAGCACCATCTACCCTTGATACTCATCACACAGATAAAATCCAGAAACTAGATTCAAAGGTGGAAAGTGAACAGCATCAGATTATATGCTAACAGGATGCACAAATATTAAATATGGAAACTTCATTAGTAGGATGTGTCATGTTAAGGTATCTCCAAAGACTATTTTTAGTAGATACTTTAAAACCTAACTGTTGATATATGATTATTTGTTAATATTCTTTAAAAATCAGATCACTCTTCGTTGTATTTGTTTCTCCTGTACTCTCAGCCCACTGCCACTCCTTGTCTGGCCACCAAAAGACAAAAATAAGATGGTCTCTCTGTAATGCTGGCAAAGTTTTGGAATGTTGGCAAATGCTTTCAGGTAAAAAATTGTATTTTAAAATCTTTCATCAATTTCTATATTCCTCCACTGTGGTCTCTAACCAATGAAGTAATTACTCTTTATATACAGTATATGACCCAAAACTGCAATGGGTAATGGAATTGCTCTGTGTTACATTCCACTATTTCATACTTTTTTTCCCTAATGTTCAGTACTTTATTAGTTGAGAATAAATTGGTACATTTCTTTTATTGTTGTTTTTGCCTTCCTTTATAAACTGGCTTGGATGAAAGAAATATCACAGGGTAGTCAATCATCCAAAGGCTTGGTAGTGACACTGGTTTCTTTAAAAAATGTATTATTAATATTACTTTTGAAGATGTAAAAAAATTACCCATAAAAACAGCTATAACTATAAATCTAAGATCATGTGAGATTTCTATTGCACAACTACTTTAATTCTGTACATTTTTAAGAAGCTTATTAGACTTTAAATAGTCCATAAAACATCAATAAAAACAAAATTTAAATTAGTGATTTTCTAATATTTGCCCATTTTATTACAATTACATATCACAGAAAGTTAAGCTACATTCTGTCAAAGAAGTAGCTACTTTATAGCTACTTCTTTGAGATTTTTAGGAAAATCTAAAGACCTAAGCAATTAATAGGAATACCTTACTTATTTGGAAAATCCTGTCCATTGACTTCTAAGCCAAAATGACAGATGTCCCCTCCCCTCTTTCATTGATTCCGTTCTGAATGGGACCAAGAAGCCAAAGTAATAGGCATCTGGGATGTGTATTCTGGGACTGACTCATGCTGAGCTGCATCCTGCCTCGGCCATTAAAGCATTTAAGGGCCCTGCCAAATGGTCATTGTCAACCTGTTGACATCATAGAAAGTGAATCTGTTGAAAGCCTGGGCTGTATTGTTTACTTAGTGGGTAT